TGCCACCCCTCACTATTCTTCATTTAATATAACAACCAAGCAAGCTGCAGCGCAGCCACGATTTACCAGGCAACTGCCTAAAGTTGAAAATTAGAAAAATGCTAAAAAGCTTTCCCCTTGGTTGACAATTGTGAGCAACAGGAAAAATTGAATAACATGAACTACATCTGTGCCTGGATTAACACCCAGGACATTGTAATTAAATGTCTTGGACCTGCAGTGCATACAAGAAAATCACTAAATAAAACCAGTGTGCAGGAATTTTTGCTGCTGAGACTGAAAACTTACAGAGTGGAACATATTCATGCAAGGCTTAAAACCGTAGCCTAAAGCTAGCAAAATACAGTATCTCTGTATTTCTCACAGCACTGGTATTGCTGTTGCTGGTGTTTCTGAAATCTAAAACCACATAAATCCCATAAACCCAGTTGCTTCCTACCACAAAGAGAAAAGAGTTACCCCATTCAATGTTCCTTTCTTTAGCTTTGCTAAGAGAATAACTATGCTGTGATTTACTTTTTCGATCACCCCAAAACACAAAGCTTCAGCACTACTTGCAAAGGAACACAAGTGACCTCTTCCTGTGTTGTGATGGAAAAGAACCTCAAAATTTCACACTAAAGCTGATCAATAAAACTACAAACTATAAAATGTAGCACAAAACATGCTGATCTCCACAGTAGTGATTGTCATTATTTATGGTTACTGATCAGATTTACTTCTCTAAATCAATGTAATAATGATTAGCCGATTTAAAACTGATACGGATTTATGAAATACCGAGCAGTCAATTTGGGTCAGACAGACCAGGTTTTCTGCTTGTCCAATACTGTAATATTATATTACTTATTATATTATATTTACATGTAACATACAGAATTATCCCTTCCATCTTGGAAACTTTTTAAAAACAAATGAATGTTTCTGTCATCATTCAGACCTTTATATCATGCGCTGTCATTTAAAACATTAATATGACTGAAGTAGCCGAGACCTAATTTAATTTGCCTCACTAGATTGTTTTGTGAGGCGATTCATGATATGTAAATGGTTATTTCAATGTGACAAGTTACAGTAAAATGATTATGTCAGTGCTGCTGAACAAAGAGGGAGCAGTTTTTGTCAGTGGAAAATGGACTGGATTACACCCGTGTTAAATAAACAATGAATTAGAGCGAGTGAACAAGAACAGATTGATTAGCAGTTAGCAGCATGGCAATTAATCTTACAGTGCAAATGAGGGTAGAAAATATAACAAAGGATTAAAAAAAACACAGGAACACCATTGTGAAAGCAACATTGTCTCATGTCATTGTTAAATGTAATGAGTGTAATGTACGGTTCTTAATACATGCTTTGTCTTTCCCTGACAAACGGGGGTTTCACACTTAATTTTCTTGAAATTTCTTTTTCTTAAAAGAAGAATGACAATCTGTAAATTAGATAATTTCATTTGTTTCTCGTGCACGTTTGTGAGAGAATATCAACGCTGAAATGAGGCAGATAAGGCTATTAGCACAGTATCACTCAATTTAAAACATTTTAAAACTGTTTGGGAAATATTTTTGAGCCTAATCAACATGCAAGTATGTTCACCCGTGCATACTCCCAAACACATCCACCCACACACACAGACACACACACACACACATCCCATAAACCAAGCTGCCCTTACTCAATATACACTCATCTATCCAACCACACACACTTGTACACTCATGTGGATATTATCAGTGGTGCTCAGCTGAAGCTCCCCGGCCTGTCCGGTCCCCACGGCGTAGTGGTGACTGGGGGAGAAAGAGCTTATCTCGGCCCCAGGCCCCTCCCTGGGCCCCTTGCCTTGGCTCCAGGAGCTGGGAGGCAGATGCCATGCAGGTGCCCAGTGTGGCATGTTTTGTGGACAAGGCATATAATGTTTAATGCTTAAGGGACAGGCTTTTTTGAAGCAGACAGTTCATCTTGTCAGTGTGTTTGTGTGTAAACGTGCGTGTTTGTGCAGGCCACAGAACAGATGGAGGGAAAGGGTTTTAGTGTGACCAACTGCCCCTAGCCTACCTGGACCTGATCAGAGCAGTTGGTACTCGCACACACACACACACACAGACTTAAACTGGCTGCACTCCCTGGGTAATAATAAATGGGACTGAATTATAACCAGGTGCAGTGTTATTCTAGGAAGGCATTCTTGCTTTAAACTCATAAAGACAAGATCAGTGGCAAGGGGTGTTAAATCATGCAATGATGGAGATGAAAATAATGAAAACGATGACTACAGAGGTAAATGTTAAATGAGACAGTGAAGACACATTTAAAACTGAATAACACACTGCTGTTGGAATTGAGTTCAAATGATAACAATTCACTCGTGAGGAGCTGTGAATGTGAGCCACCTCCTCACATTCATGGCATGTTCTCACAGTCACATCGCACCATCATCTCCATTCATAACAAACTATTTACTCATTGAAATGGAGAGCAATTTATAGGACAAAGGTGAGAATGGGTGTTTTTGGAATGTGTAGCTGACAAACTCCCAATGAGTTTTAAAGACATGAGGTTAACTGCTTCGAAAAGCTCCTTTCGTCTCTGTGAGTTACGCCAAGGGTTCACAAAACTTCAATCTAAATACAGGGCTGGAACGCACCACAGATTAGCTCGCACAGTGACGGCTCTATAAAACAGTGCCAGAGTACTGCTGTCCCTTTTCGACTGGCATGGCTCCACCGTTCAAATCCCCTCCACAGTGGGTAAATATCTGCAAGACAAGTGTGACTATGTGCCTACCTAGCAGCCTGACTACCTTCATACACCAATCAAGGGTGAGTGGTTTTTCTGTGTTCAGAGTAAATCCTATGCATTCAAATGTTTGGTTGAAAATGCTGACATATAAGACATACAGGGTGCTGCGGTAGAATGAAAATGATGCTGCTGGAGTTTATTTTAGAATGAAAGTGCCTTCCTCTTGGCCCTTCAAAGGTATTAAAGAGAGAGTGATATTTCAACCCATGGTGCTAATATCAAACAAGCTTGCAACCCCCAAAAGCATTGAATGGTTAGACTTGAATGAGTCCAGGCAAACACCCATGCTCTAATATTGGAGTCTTTGCTTTGATGTACAATCACACATGCACCTGTCTACCACTCAAACACTCGCAATGGCACAATACATTTGCTGAGATAAAGTGACTGCAGTGCATGATCCGTTTTGCAGTGGTAGGGTTTTGCTTTCATAATGATGGGGTGTGAGTGAGCATGCATGTATATGAATGCATAACCAGCATCTCAGATTGGGATGATGCAGCGCGACAGGCTTTTAAATCTTGAAAAAGAAGTGCTAGGATGGTCCCTCGTACAAATGCTATTGTCACACGTCCAGTCATAATGCTGTTAGCTATACTGCTCCAGGGTGACAGGCAAGACAGTGCTGAAAGAACTCAAAGGTGCCAGGTAAAGGGGAAGCATTATTTTTAGATAGATAGATAGATCATCATCATCTGGTGCAGGGGGTGTGTTGTGAAATATATTCCATGTTCCTTAAGTGTGGCAACAAGCCTCGAGACCCCTGAACATGCTCCTCAAGCAGTTAATAATTGTTGTTTCACGGTGTTGGAGGAGCAAGGCGGAGATAATGTTTTGTATCAAGATAACACATTGCCTTATTCCAGCCGCCGCCTCCCATTAACGCATGAGACAAATGGAATGGGAACATTGCCTTGGAGTCATCCAAATGAGGGTGTCT